TGTGAGATTTTGGTCTATGCCTAGTTTCTTCCACACTCTTTTCCAGTTTTCCCAGCAGTTTTTTTTTTCAAAGAGTGGGTTTTTATCCTAGAAGCTGGGGTCTTTGGGTTTATCAAATAAAAGATTACTATAGTCATTGACTACTGTGTCTTGCATATTTAACCTATTCCACTGATCCACCACTCTGTTTCTTAGCCAGTACCAAGCAGTTTTGAGGATCGCTGCTTTATAATAAAATTTAAGATCTAGAATGGCTAGGCCACCTTCCCCTGCATTTCTTTTCATTAGTTCTCTTGATATTCTGGACCTTTTGTTCTTCCAAATGAATCTTCTTATTTTTTCTAACTCTATAAAATAATTTTTTGGTAGTTTGATTGGTATGGCACTGAATAAGTAAATTAGCTTAGGTAGAATTGTCATTTTTGTTATATTAGCTCAGCCTACCCATGAGCAACTGATGTTTTTTCCAATTATTTAGATCTGACTTTATTTGTGTGAAAAGTGTTTTGTAATTGTGTTCATAGAGTTCCTGGGTTTGTTTCGGGAGGTAGACTCCTAAATATTTTATAATGTCTACAGTAAGTTTAAATGGAATTTCTCTTTCTATCTCTTGCTGCTGGGCTTTGTTGGTAATATATAGAAATGCCGATGATTTAGGTGGGTTTATTTTATAGCCTGCAACTTTGCTAAAGTTGTTTATTATTTCAAGTAGTTTTTTGCTTGATTCTCTAGGATTCGCTAAGTATATCATCATGTCATCTGTGAAGAGTGATAGCTTTGTTTCTTCTTTGTCTATTCTAAAACCTTCAATTTCTTTTTCTTCTCTTATTGCTAAAGCTAACGTTTCCAGTACAATGTTGAATAACAGTGGTGATAATGGACATCCTTGTTTCACCCCCAATCTTATTGGAAATGCTTCTGGTTTGTCCCCATTACATATTATGCTTGCTGAAGGTTTTAAATAGATGCTATTTATTATTTTAAGGAAGACTCCATTTATGCCTATGCTTTCTAGTGTTTTTAATAGGAATGGGTATTATATTTTGTCAAAAGCTTTTTCTGCATCTATCAAGATGATCATGTCGTTTCTGTTGGTTTTGGTGTTGATATGCTCAATTATACTGATAGTTTTCCTAATATTGAACCAGCCCTGCATTCCTGGTATAAATCCTGCCTGGTCATAGTGTATTATTCTTGTGATAAATTGTTGTAATCTATTTGCTAATATTTTGTTTAAAATTTTCGCCTCTATATTCATTAGAGAAATTGGTCTATAATTTTCTTTCTCTGTTTTGACTCTTCCTGGTTTAGGTATCAGCACCATATTTGTATCATAAAAAGAATTTGGTAAGACTCCTTCTTCACCTATTTTGCCAAACAGTCTATATAGTACTGGAATTAATTGTTCTTTAAATGTTTGATAGAATTCGCATGTAAATCCATCTGGCCCTGGAGATTTTTTCCTAGGCAGTTCATCAATGGCTTGTTCAATTTCTTTTTCTGAGATGGGGTTATTTAAGTATTTTACTTTCTCTTCTGTTAATCTGGGCAATTTATATTTTTGTAAATATGTATCCATTTCACTAAGATGGTCAAATTTGTTGGCATATAGTTGGGCAAAATAGTTCCTAATTATTGTTTTAATTTCCTCTTCCTTGGTGGTAACTTCACCCTTTTCATTCCTGATATTAGTAATTTGGTTTTCTTCTTTCTTTTCTAACTTAAATTAACCAAAGGTTTATCTCTTTTATTGGTTTTTTCATAAAACCAGCTCTTAGTTTTATTTATTAGTTCAATAGTTTTCTTAATTTCAATTTTATTGATTTTTCCTTTGGTTTTCAATATTTCTAATTTGGTGTTTAATTGAGGATTTTTAATTTGTTCTTTTCTAGTTTTTTTAGTTGTATGCCCAATTCATTGATCTCCTCTTTTTCTATTTTATTTATGTAAGCATTTAGAGATATAAAACTTCCCCTAAGAACTGCTTTTGCTGCATCCCATAAGTTTTGGTGTGTTGTCTCATTATTGTCATTCTCTTGAATGAAATTATTGATTGTTTCTATGATTTGTTGTTTGACCCAATCTTTTTTTAGGATTAGATTAGTTTCCAATTATTTTTTAGTCTATCTTTCCATGGCCCTTTATTACATATAATTTTTATTGCATCATGATCTGAAAAGGATGCTTTTAATATTTCTGCCTTTCTGCATTGGATTGTGAGGTTTTTATGCCCTAGTGCATGGTCAATTTTTGTGTATGTGCCATGTACCGCTGAGAAAAAAGTATATTCCTTTCTTTCCCCTTTCAGTTTTCTCCAGAGGTCTATCATTCCTAACTTTTCTGATGTTCTATTCACCTCCTTAACTTCTTTCTTGTTTATTTTATGGTTAGATTTATCTAGTTCAGAGAGGGGGAGGTTGAGGTCCCCAACTAGTATAGTTTTGCTGTCTATTTCTTCCTGTAACTCCCTGGACTTCTCCTCTAAGAATTTGGATGCTATACCATTTGGTGCATATATGTTTAATAATGATATTACTTCATTGTCTATGGTGCCTTTTATTTGTTTGTTTGTTTTTTGGCTAGGCAATGGGGTTAAGTCATTTGCCCAGGGACACACAGCTAATAAGTGTTATGTGTCTGAGGCCAGATTTGAACTCAGGTCCTCCTGAATCCAAGGCCAGTGCTCTATCCACTGCACCACCTAGCTGCCCCTCTATGGTGCCTTTTAGCAGGATGTATTTTCTTTCCTTATCTCTTTTGATAAGATCTATTTTTTCTTTTGCTTTGTCTGAGATCAGGATTGCTACCCCTGCTTTTTTTACTTCAGCTGAAGCATAATATATTCTGCTCCAGCCTTTTACCTTTACCCTGTATGTGTCACTCTTTTTCAAGTGTGTTTCCTGTAAACAACATATTGTAGGATTATGTTTTTTAATCCATTCTGCTATCCTCTTCTGTTTTATGGGAGAGTTCATCCCATTCACATTCACAGTTATGATTTCTATCTGTGTCTTTTTCTCCATCCTTTTTTCCCTGTTTATGCTTTTCTTTCTCCTTTCTCTTTTCCCTCCCTCACTAGTGTTTTGCTTTTGACCACTGCCTTCTTCAGTCCCTCCTCCCTTCTATTAGCCCTTTCCCTTTTCTTCCCCTTTACCCTTACTGCTTCTTCCCTCTCTTCTATCCCTCCTACCTTTTCTTTCCCCTTTCCCCTCCTACTGCCTATAGGGCAAGTTAGATTTCTATACCTAACAGATTATGTTATTCCCTTCTTGAGTCAAATCTGATGAGAGTAAGGTTCAAACAATGGTCATCCCCCTCCCTTCTTTCCCTCTGCCATTTTTTTGTTTTTTTTTTTTGTGTGTCTTTTTCTGTAATGTCATTTACCCTTGTCTGCCTTCTCTTTTCTCAGTACATTTTGTTAGATCAGACTAATCCACTTACTTAGATCCATTTAACCCACTTGATTAGATTTTTTTTATCATTACAACAAAGTCAACTTATATCCACCCCCTTTATGTATATTGATCTAAATTTCAACAAAGCTTTTGTTTCCTTTTTTTTTTTTTTTTTTTTTTGCTGAGGCAGCTGGGGTTAAGTGACTTGCCCAGAGTCACACAGCTAGTAAGTGTCAAATATCTGAGGTCATCAACAAAACTTTTGAAAAAGTCTCTCATACATGTGTCTTGCTTAAGGAGGGTCTCCTGCCTTGGCCATTTCCTTCTAAGGTTGGTGATTTACTTAAAGTTGGAGAAGGTATTGATTAAATTTAGTATTGATAATTAGTACTGATTAAAGAGACAGTCTACCTCCAGGTTCAAGATAGAAAAGACAGCAAGACAGGGCGCTCAATTCTGAAAGGGTGATCTGCTTGGGCTAACCAGTCTTACTTACTTACTGGGTGGTGCCCTTGGCAGAGTGCTGACCTCTCCTTTATTCTCTTCTCTTGGTTATAAGAACTGCAGCACTCACTGCTGACATTCTCTTCATATCAAATATTTTTCAATCTATAGAGATTCCTCCTTGCCATGCACCCTGCTCCTGCTCCCTCAGGACCACTGAACTTCCTAAGACTGCCTTGGGTGACTATGAAGTTGGTAACTCAGTGGACAGAGCTCTGGGCCTTGAGTCGGGAAGATCTGAGTTCAAATTCAGACACTTACTAACTGTGTGACCTTGGGCAAGTCACTTATCCTCAGTTTCCTCATCTGTAAAATGGAGGTGATAATAGCTCTTATTTTGCAGAGTTGCTGTGAGACTCAAATGATATTTGTAAAGCACTTAGAATAATGTCTGGCACATAATAGGTGCTATGTAAATATTAGCTCTTATAGTATTGTCACTATTATTGTCACTCCGTTCAGCTTTGGGAACACCACCCTGGGACTGCATCGTCCTAGTTGGTCATGCTTCACATTCCAACTGCCATCCCACCGTATGTGTAGCGCTCTCCCCAGCCCCCTTTTTCCACCTCTTGTTCTGGGAACAGTTATCGAATCAATATTTTCATTGCTTTTGGAAGGAGTATGACAATTGCCTCCCCTATGACTCCACTCCCCATCCCTGTGATTCCTCAGACAAAAACAGCCTTCCCCAGCCACCTCTCCCCGGAATGTGCTGTTGCCCCCTACTAGAGGGTAAGTGTCTTGAAGGCAAGGGTTGTATTGCTTACTTGTATCTGTATTTTAGGCACTTAGCACAGGATTGCCACATAGTAAGTACTTAATTAACACTTTGCATTCATTCATTCATTCGTTCATCCTAGGTATTTCCTGTATGCTTAAGTGCACTATTCTTTTAAGAAATATTTTATTTAAAATGTATTATTTTAATCATTTAAAGCATTTAAATGTTTAAAAATGTTTTATTTAATGCCTGTGGTTTCTAAATCACAATCTTTGCTGGATATACCTTTATCACCTTAGTCCTCCTGATCACTCTCCCCATTCCCAACCCCAATCCCAATCCAACCCTCCCTTGTGACAAAGAACAGGAGCTGAATATAGGGTAGGGATTGCCTCATTTTGATTTAATTTCCCCAGAATACAGTACATGGCCTGGCACATAGAAATGCTTGTTAAATTGAATGAACAAAGAAAATCAATTAAGCAAAAACAACTGATATGGTGACTTGCTCTGATAAGGTGGGAGCCATTCATCCCTCGAATACTCTCACTTCTGACAAGAGAAGTAAGTATATTTTGTTATCTGGTCTCCAGGACCATTATTGGTTTTTCAGCTACTCAAAATTTTGACATCCTTTTGGAGATCTTTTCTTTGACGCTGTCGTCACAGACTGGTTTTTGCTCCTTCTTACGTCGTTCTGCATTAGTTCAGACAGATCTTCCCACATTTCTCTGAATTCATCATATCCGCCATTTTGTACTGAATAACATTCCATTGCATTGACCTAACCACAGTTTGTTCAACCATTCCCCAACTGATGGACACCCACTTTTTTCCAATTATATGCAGCCATAAAAAATACTGCTTAAATATTTTGTTGTATCAGGGACTTTTGTTTTTGTCTTTCACATTCTTGCGGGTACATATCAAGTAGTGGGCTGGATCAGAGGGTATGAGCACTTTTGCACTATTAATAGGTTCATAAAGCTAGAGTTAGAAGAAATCTCAGATGTCATCTTAGTACAACTCTATCATTTTATAGAGGAGGAAACTGGGGACAAGGAGGTCCAGTGACTTGCTCAAGGTCACACAGGGAAAAAGTCTCAGGGCTGAGACTTTAACCCAAGTCCTTTTGGCTCCAAATCCAGTGCCCTTTTCTCTCAATGGAATATGGTCAAACTGGCATTGATGGTTTGGGGGGCTGCCATGGCCCCCAGAGCTGTTGGTGCTTGGGTTGTTTTTGTTATTAAAACGAAAAGAAAAGAAAAGGAGGGAGTTATTAAAGATTAGCTCATGCTTCTAGGGACGCATTGACTTTTTTCTCCCTCTCTTTTTTGGGGCAACTGATCTGACGAGGTTAGTGACGCTTCCCTCGGACTGCAGTTTGAATTCCACAGGAAAGTGATCGCTGACATCGAGAGCCTAAGAAAAGAAGACAATCAATGAGTCACAGACTCTTAGAGCTGGAATGGTATCAATCGTTGACTTCATTCCCCTTATCGTAGTGATGAAGGACCTGAAGCCCGGACAGGAAAAGTAGCCTGCTATTTGTTGTCATTGTTCAGTTGTTTCAATTGTGTCCAACTCTTTGTGACCCCATTTGGGGTTTTCTGGGCAGAGACACTGGAGTGGTTTGCCATTTCCTTCTCCAGCACATTTTACAGATGAGGAACTGAGGCAAATGGGGATAAGTGACTTGCCCAGGGTCACACAGCTGGTAAGTGTCTGAGGCCAGATTTGAACTTGGGAAGATGAGTTTTCCTGACTTGTTATTTGGATCCAAATAAATTCAGAATTTGAGAAATTCTTCAAGTTATAGGACTACTAGACCCTCATCCTATCCTGGCCAACATTTATTGCCAATACTGGTCTTAAAGAATGTGCTAAGGGCCAAGCTATGGCTGTGCTCCCCAATTCCACGGGAGGATCATGCAATCAGAGGCAGAAGGGACCTTTTGAGGCCATCTAGTCCAACCTCGTGTTCTACAGATGAGAAGATGGAGGCTCTTCGAGGGGACGTGCCTTGCCCCAGACAATACAGGTTCTAGGCACCACCAGATCCAGGATTGAAATCCTAATCCTCTGACTTCAAATACAGGTCTTTCCCCAATGCCCTCCAAAGGGAAGACTGCATGGGAACAAATTCAACATTACTAAGGATAGCCTAGAGAAAAGGCAAGGGGTAGATTTACCTCCTCTTCAGTCAACCTGTAGGCTTTCTGGAAATCAAAGATGTCTGCTGAATCTGGAACAACGGAACTGTTTATCTTCTGGCCTTGGAGCACGATCCTGTGGCAAGGAAGGAAAGAACCACTCAATTAGGTGAAGCCTTGCTCGGTCTCTCGATTATGGCCTGGATTTGATATTTATAGGGTTGTGAGTAGGTCTGGATGGAAGCATGGCTGGGTTTAATGGAGGAACCATAGGTAAGGGGGAAGACATCCTCCATGATCTCTGGTCTTGAAATTGCTGACTTCAGTGCTAGGTTGTCCGCTCTGGTAAGGGTTGGAGGGGCTAGTGGAAGACTTCTTTTTTCCCTACTGTCAGATGCCGGTTTCCCATAGAGATAACTTCTGCAAAGGAAATTCCCAACCCTGAAAGTCCTGAGGGGAACCGAGGAGGTTCGTAAGACAGAAACAAGTTCCAAACCTCAAAACAAGAGAAATGAGAGTGGGCTCTTTGCAAATGTGCAAAGCTACAAACTTAGCAGATCGGGGCAAACCTCCTGGCATGAAGAAGACCATGGGACCTGGGGGATTTTGATGCTCTGGGATTCGTATTTCTGTGAACTGGCCTGCTGATGTGAAGGCAGTGAGGGTCCCTAAAGAAACCTAGACTTCCTACCGAAAGATGAACTCTAAATACTGTTTTAAGATGGCTTTGATGATCCTGCCCCAAACTTGGCTATGGCATAATTAACAATGTTGTTCAGTCATTTTTCAGTCATGTCTGACTCTTTGTGACCCATTTGGGGTTTTCTTGGCATTGGAGTGGTTTGCCATTTCCTTCTTCAGCTCATTTTACAGATGAGGAAACTGAGGCAAACCAGGTGTGCCCAAGGTCACACAGCTAGGCCAGTGAGTCTTTCTGACTCCAGGCTCAGTACTCTATGCACTGAGCTCCCTAGCTGCCCTTAACAACTGATGCCTTGTAGCTATTAGAATGATTTTTCCTCCTGCCAGGACAGGTGGTCCCCAGTGAAATGACTAGAGGAGGTGGCTTTCTGTTCAAATATGGGAAAGGACCTTTCCTTAAATCCCTGATAAGTCATATGGACTAGATTGAGAGATGATAGTTTTCTGCTCATAAATGGGAGCAGATCCTCTCTATTTAAAAGGTCCCAAACTGATTCAGAGAGGCAGCAGAAAAAACACTGGCTTTGGCATTAGAGGACCTAGATTGCAATCCTGCTTCTGTCAATACCTATGTGACTTTTGGGAATGTCAATGAATCTCGCTGGGCTAAAGGCTTGTCCTCTGTAAAATGAGAGGGTTGGACCACGTGGCCTCTTACATCTATGCTCCTGTGACCTTTTGGCTGGAAGAGCTTCAAATGGAGGCCAGGTGTAGCCTTCCCCTTAAGGTATATCCCTGGAGGACAGCGAGGAGCCCTCGGGCCCTAGCAAGCTGCTGTGTGACCAGGAGCAGATAGTCTGCTTGGACAGGGAGTAGTAAGCTTTGGTCAGGTCATTAGGAGCCTGCTTTTCCTTTTTCTTCCCTTCTGGTAGGTGCTAAGACAGCAGCTTCCTGGTGCATCCATCTCTACCTTGACTTTCCTTTGTCTTCTGGTGGCTAAGAAAAGAGTAGTTTCTGGCCTGTATTTAGGGTCTTTTCCCTTCTGGGTGGCCATGAGTGATGGAATGGTCCAGTTTTACACTCTGTTCTGGTTCTGCTCCAAAATGGAATTAAGTTGAGGAGGCCTGGCTTTGCATTCTATCTCTGTCTCTCTTTCTTTTTTCACTCTTTCTTTCCCTCTCCCTTTCTCTGCTAAGAGTTAGGAAAACTGAATAGTAGGTCCCAGTGGGTCTCGGTCAAATACTGATTATACTTCTCTTTCTCAGAGCAATGGCTTTGTGTGTTTAGGATTGTTATTTAAGACTCTTTTCATTCCATAGAAGTCATTTTGGGGAAAATTTATAGTGTCATTGCTGAGATAAGAATTTCAGCTGATACTCCAAGGCTCTGATAGTTTAATTCATATGGGATCTGTATGTTTGTTACCAAGATAAATATTCCTGACAGTCATTTTACTTCAAAGTCCTCACTAAATGCCCTATTTGCTAGAACAAAACCATGTCTTTGTTTTGCGGGGTTCAGCTTCAGGGGATTTATGTCCAAAGCCTAAAGATCTAAGGAGTCCCTGCTCCCAATAGTCTCAGCAAAAGCTGATTATGGATACAATGGAAATTAGCAAGGTCTCTCTTAGCAAGGTCATCAAATGTACATTGGGGCTTAAAAAGGTATTTATAGAATGCAAGATGTGGGATCAAAATCAAGATAGTGGGGGGAAAAATCTCTCTATGAGATTAAAACCCAGTAGATTGTAAGCTCCTTGAGGGTAGGGACTATTTTGTTGTTATCTTTGCATATCCAGTGCATAGCAGAGATAGATAATGATAGACTGATCAATAGATAAAGCATTTATTAAGAACTTACTGTGTGCCAAGTATGCCAAAAGCTGAATATGCAAATCCAGGCAAATGAGGAGATCTTTCCTTTCTAGGAATTTACATTCTAATGTCATAGAGTCTGGCAAATGCATGATGAATGAATGAATGAATGAATGAATGAGGAATGAGGACATGTGCAGCCCAACAAATGGTTTTCCCAAGCTATACCAACCAAGCAGCTGGGATAGGGGAGGGGCCAGAGAGAAAAGTAAGGTCTCAAAGACTTCTGTGCACTTTGATAACAAACAAACAGGACGTAAAGTGTACAAACCACAATGAACAAAGAAGTATTTAATATTCCTTACGCAATGCCTCAGACTGTTTTTAAGTCTGGAACACTGCCCTGTATCTAAATTGGGCCCTTTGACCCTCTTTAAAGCAGAAGGAACTACCCACCCTAGGGATACTTCTCGTCACGTCTCATTTCTTAGCGATGACACTCAGATCTGGGCTCAAAGGATCATAGATTTAGACACGGAAAAGACCTTAGAGAACACCTTGATCAGCCCTCACATTTTACAGATAAGGAAACTGAGGCAAGGGATTGGTCCAGAGTCCCAGACGTAGGAGATCTGGGATTCTTTTCCAGGTTCTCTGACCCCCACCCTGTGCTCTTCCCACTATCCCACCCAGACTCTTGTTTAATGTTGCCCTAATAGATGTAGATGTCAGCTGAACAGAGAGGATAAGGGAAGTCAAGAAGGGGTCAGATTGCTAAGCAAGAGTCTCTCTAAGAAGATAGTCATTTAAGAGACACAGAATAATGGCAGAACTCTTCTCAGCACTAAATGGAACAGAATGGAATCTCACAGAAGGAAGATTGTTGAGTTTGCTGGGATGAATCGCAGTGCTGACTCAGGTTCCTGGGATAGCTGATGTTTCATCTGGATGCCTTTACTGCTTAGTTGGCTATTAGATTTTCTCACAAAACCCTCAGCTGTGTCCCCTCTGATTTCCTCCCAGAAATGAGTTGGCCATTGGGGAGTTGCAGTCAGCAGGAATTGTGAGGGTTTTAGGCTGGAGTGGGAGGGGGGAGGGGAGCCTCTTACCTATCATAAGCACACTTTGTGCTTCCCTTTACTGTCGTATCCACATTATCACCAATCAGCCAGACAAACTTGGGGTCCATCCGAAGTCGGATTTCCTTCCAGGACTTCTTTGGGATGTAACTACAGCCAGCATTGAAGTCTCCCATGAAGATGAAGTTCTAAAAGACATAGACTTGAGTCAAGAAGTATAAAGACTTTACAGATGTTTTTGATTATAATCCACAACAGCAAAACTGAAGCTTTGTGATCCCTCAAACTCAACAGAAATTAGCTCTATTCCCCTTTCTTTAAAACATAAAAATAAACAAGAAGAGGATTCTATATTTAGGATGAAAGGTCTCCACAAGTCCTGGTTTTGACAAGGCACTGTGGTACTGAGAAAAGAGTGCTGGGTTAGAGATCAGAGATCCTGAGTTCGAATTACACTTCAGACACTATCTGTGCTATTCTGGGCAAGTCATTTGGGCCTCAGTTTCGTCAATTGTCAAATGAAGGGCTGGATAAGGTCACTTCCAGCTCTAGTGTGTGATCTTATGTCCAAAACTGACTCGAGAATTGAATAGGGAACAGGCAGGAGAGAATGGTCTAGATTGTTTACAGAAAGTTGTCTGGCACTTTCAATCATCCCAAGCTACTCCTTGAAACCAAAGCCCATCTGTTTCACACCATTGTTCTTCTTGAGGTGCTTTATGACTGGTAGTCAAGGAGCACAGAATTGTGGTTGACACAAACGGACATGAGAGACACCCATGGAAAGCTGCATGGCATAGTGGGTCAATCTTTGGACTAAGAGTTAGGACTTCGCAGAGCCTCGGTTTCTCCCTTTGTAAAAAGGAGACAAGAATAGCACCCACCTCCCAGGCTTTTTCTGAGGATCAAATGATATGATAATTGTAAAGTGCTTAGCACAGTGCCTGGCACATGGTAAGCACTATATAAATATTAGCTATTATTAAGTCTATAAAATGTCACCTATCTCTACACAATGTCATCCTCCTCTATACCACAATGCCACTTATATCTATACAATACTACTGCCATCTACACAATGCCACCCATGTCTACACTGTGCCTATACCTATACAATATCAGTTGTGTTCGCATGACACCATGTCTACACAAAGCTATGTAATTCCTACATGTATATAATGCTACCCATCTCTATACAATGTCACCCACTGCTGCATGATGCCACCCATGTAAGATATCGCCTACCTCTCCACAATGCCTATAAACTATACAATCCTGGCTATTCCACATCATCCACATTTACATAATGCCACCCAAATCTCCACGGTGCCACCCAAGTCTGCAAAATGCCACCTAATCTACAAGATACCACCTAGAGCTACACAATGCCATCCATATTCATGCAGTGTCACCAAGGTCTACACAATGCCAACACAACTCTGACAAATCTTTGCCCAGGAACATACACGTATTTGTTGTAATTATGTGTGAGGCATGAGTGTTTTCTACTTTCAAGCAGGAATATTATGCCTACCAGTATGGGGACTCTTTCTCTCTGCCATTTCAAGGGGAGTTTTCTCTTACAGATAGTATGTAGCAGGAAAGCTTGGGTATCAGGGCATTTCCTTCTCTCATAGCTTCAGGGGAGAATTCTTTTCCTTACCAAGCTGTCAAGTGGGAAATCTTGCCTCAGACTTAAGTAAACTTTGTTCTGTTTTTCTTTGAGCTCCACTTATGCCACCTGTCCAGGATTTCTAAGGAACCTTAGACCCTGGCCTTGGCCATATTGTTCCCCTCAAGGTTGGTGAGAACCATTGAAGATGGCCTTTCGTCTGTACTCTACAGAATTTAAAATTTCCCTTTCCTCCTCTTCCTGATCACCCCCACCTTCTCTTCCGCTTTCTTTCTCTTCTGCCCACCTCATCATTAATTCTTCCGATTTTCACATCCTCCTGTTACTTTCCCATCTCCTAACAAAAGGGGCCCAGAGAGGTTGCCTGTGATCACAGAAAGGGAAGGAGCCTCATACATCATCTCACACATGCCCTAGAAGGGAAAGGAGCCTTATGCATTGTCTCACGTGATTCTGTCATTCCACAGAACAGAAAATGAACTGATTCTCTTTCCCCCTGGCCCCAGCTGTCTCCCTAACTTCTCTGTTTCTGTTAAGAGCACCAGCACTCTTCAATCCCCCAGGTTTGAAACATCAGAGCCATTCTCAACACTTCATGCTCTCTGCCCCAACCTATCAAATCAGTTGCTGAATCTTGTGGATTCCACCCCACATCCTTTGCATCCATTCCGTTCTCTCTGCTCACGTGACTGCCACCTTAGGTCAAGCCTTCATATCTTTAAACTATCCATTCCCTATGTAGCTGCCGTATTGGTATTCCTTAGGCACAGGTCTGACCATGTCACTCCCCATCCCAAGAAGCTCCAGTGGCTTATGGGGTAGCCTCTCCATAAAATGCAAACTCTTGTTCAACATTCAAGGTAGTGACCTCAGGCTTCCATCGACGTTTTACATCCATGTAGACATCAAAGAGCTCGTCGATTTCCCGAACAGACGTCTCAGGTGTTGTGTGTAAAGGGATGATCACAAAATCTGTGACAGCTTGAGAACAGGAGAAAACAGGGACTTAGTTAAGTTCTCCCTGTCGAGGTCATAGAAACAGAGTAAAAAAGAAGACAGTGTTCCCCTTACAGACTGGAATACTATGGTTTTTCCCCCAACCAGACACATCTTCAAAGGAATAATAGTTGGTATTTCTATGGTTCATTTAGGTGAAATGCTTTAGTTCTGTGATTTCATTTGAATCTCAACACAGCAAAGCTGTGAGATGGGCATTATAGTTAATGCTGTCCCCATTTTATAGATCAGGGGGCTGATGCTCAGAAAGGTTAAGTAACTTGCACAGAGCCACACAGCCAGTAAGGGACCTTACTTCTAAAATGAGGATAATAAATACTTGGGGGGGAGGAGGAGTGTGGTGGACAGAGCAGGAGATTTGAAGTCATACAATTTGGGTTTAAGCCCTAGTTTTGCGAACTGTTTCCCACGTGATCTCAGACAAATTACTTCTCTCTGGGGGTTTTAAATGAGGGAATTTGGCCAGATGATCTCTCAGGTCTAGCTCTAACATTGAATTATGCCATAATTCTGGAGACAGGCGGGGGCGGGTCTTGAATCTGACTAAAGAATTTGGGTTTTATTTAGTAGAGGACGAGGAAAAAGTGAGATGGTATACACAGAGACGTATGGTATGATTTAGAATATGATAGTGGGTGAGGAGTAAAAGGGACCATGAAATGAGGGAGACGAGGGAGGAATCCATCTTTACAGGGGGAAGGGCGTATAAGGATTGAACCTTTAACCCCAAATTCAGTGACTTAATGAGTTATCCTTACACCTGGGACAAATCATTCATTAGGGACAGTCTGGTGACACCCAGGAGGGCAAGAAGAGGCCTGGGCCTGAAATGGAGGGGGTGAGAGTATGAAACGTTTCTGGTTTTTTGGTTTTCTGTTCTTGCAATTAACAAAAGCCCCTCTCTAAATGTTTCTGTTGGTATCCAGAATTTGTACTTCTGTTGAAAGTATATCAAGTAAAGGTCTACCTATCCACCACACACTTTCAACAGAAATGCAAATTCCTTCCCCCTTTTCTCTCTCCTCTTTTCTCTTTGTTAACTTTAAAGCACTATGTGAGTGTTATTATTATTATTATTATCATTATCATTGTTATTGTTGTTGTTTTTCCCATTTTAAAGAAGCATTATGTTCTACCACAAAGTTCACATTAGGCAAAATCATTTAACTTCAGGTACCTGCGATGTCAGATGTCAATGTTCATTCTGTTGGTTTTGGTCTAGATACTGGCAAAGGGAACTCCCGAAGCAGAAACCCCCTCCACTGGGGCAGATCAACAACCCATTTGTAACTTGGACTCTTAAAGAGTTGACTGGGTACTAAGACATTAAATGACTTGACTATCGTCGCACAGCTAATATGTGTCAGGGGTAATGTTTGAACCTAGGTCTTCTTGACTCCAAGGCCAGGCCTTTATGTCTCCCTGCCATGCTTTGGTCTCTTGTCTTGCATTTAAGAAATGTTTGCTGAATGGAATTGAATTGAGGAACGAAGAACTTTTTTCAAAAAGGAAATAAACTAAATGGAGAATATCTTTGGGAAAATAAACTAGGCAAGCTAAATCATAAGGTCATAGGAACATAGAATTAATATTTCCTTTCAGGAAAAAAAAATCCACATAGGTTTAAAAGTCTAACAGTCACGGCTGAAATAGGAAAGGACTACATTTGACAGTATGTCTGGACCCAGATCAGAAAAACTCATTGGAATAATAAATATAATAACAATAATACTAGCTAGCATTTACATAGCTCTTTAAAGTTTGCAAGCACTTTACCTTCATAATAACTCTGAGAAGTAGGTGCCATTATTATCGGTATTTTACAGATGAGGAAACTGAGGCAAATCGGTTTAAGTGACTTGCCTAAGGTCACACAGTCTAAGGCCAGATTTTAACTCAGGAGGATGAGTCTTCCTGACTCCAGGCCCAGCCTTCGATCTACCTCACCACCTAGCTGTCTCTCATTCTTGACATTCATAAAATTAAAGAAAAGTTCTTGATTTGAAAAATCTTTGCTCAGACCCACCCAGATCTGGGGTTCTCCAATTCAGAGGATTTTGTGTATCAGAAAAGCCAGGGAGGCAATTCACTGGCTCTGATAATAGTCCTTCAGAATATAAAAGAAGACATATGGTGCAGTGAAAAAAGCTCCAGATTTAGAGGCAGAGGACCTGCCTACAAAATCTGACTCTTCCACAAGTCACTTCTCTCTGAGCCTCAGTTTCCTCGTCTGTAAAATGAAGAGGTTGAACTCTGATCTCCAAGGACCCTCCTGCCTCTAAACCTATGAGGCTTCTTCTAACAAAGTTGGTGCTCTTAGCTGTGACTCACCAGTTCGAGGTGAGTAGAACCAGATCACAAAGGGCTCTCGGGAAAAGACGTCTTCATCTCCGTTCTGGGTGTCGTGATAGAGATAGCTTTTCTTCACAGATACCACACTCTCTCTAAATAAAGTAAAAAGGAAACAAGAGTCTGGTTGGAGTCACTTCCATTTTTAAAAAAGTCACTTTGAAGACAGGAAGGTTTTGGTCTAATGTCCTCTTGGGGAAAAGCACCTCTAACTTTCTGATTTGGCTTCAATCTTTTACTAAATGATGATTTGATCATCAAACTGCAGATACCAGATTGACTGTTAACAATGAATCATTAATCACTACTAACTCTGAGAGTCATCAGTCAGACTTCCATTTTCGCTGGTGTCTGAGAACACTAAGAAGTATGAATTATGTGCCTGCCTCTCATCTTAGCTAGGAAAATGGAATACCACAGAAAATAGCATCCAGTTCTTTGTCAGTCCGGTCCTTGGCAGAACAAAAGCATGAGAATACCAGGCTTCCCTCCAAGTTCGGCTCAGGTCACAAGGACTTTCCTGATCTCTATGCTCTCCCCCTTTTGAATTTCTCTGTACAATATCGCACATTCTTAGTATGGACTTTGTGTATATGTAATTTCACTCCAGCAGAAGGTAAGCTCCTTGAGTGTAGGGACGGTTTTTCTGCATCTGCATGCCTAGCTTAGTGCCTTGCACATACTAGGTCCTTAATAAATGGCAAATTGAATCCAAGAGGTCAAAGGTCACAATCAAACTGCCCATACAACTCCCAAGCTGATCCAAAAGCTTAGTTAACCTTGACAAATAATTATGTGATAGTATCCATTACATAATCCGCCAAATACCATAAGACATCCAGGCATGATGTCACTTTGCCACATTCTTCATTTTGCAGAGGCAATGAGGGATGCCCTGAGTGGTACCAAATGGACCTGCAATTCCACTGCTACTATAGAAAATACCCTTTACTAATGCAGGTCACCACCTTCTCTACAACTTAAATGTCTTAAAATTTTGCCTGGGGGCACCAAGAGGTTACATGATTTTAAATGATTCGTCCAACATTTTAATTTATCCACAACATCAGAGATAGGACTTTCCCTCTATATTTTCCTGACTTTCTGAGTTCAGCTTTTTATCTACTATATCCTGCTGCCTCTCTGAGGAGGCTTTATAATAAAAAAAGAAGGGATTCCTACATAGAGGTCTCGGGTCCCTGTGATACCTGGAAAACCCTGGGATTCCAGAGGGGGTAAAGCCTTCACCAAATGTACACCAAGATCACATCCCTACCTTTAAAGATAGTTTTCATGAATTGCTATGGCTATGAGAAGAATCGGTTATGACCGAACTCTAGTGTCAAAGAAACAAATGCATTGTCCATTGATAGCCATACTACGTCAACAGATAGATCTAGAAAGATGGAGGCCTTGGATTTGGAGTCAAAGGGCCTAGGTTCAAATCCTGGTTCTGCCACTTACTGCGTCTATGACACAACCTCCCTGTGCCTCAGTTTCCTCATCTGTAAAGTGAGGGGGCTTGAACTTGATGGACTCCATGGTCCTCTAAGTACCTCAGCATATTGGGTTGGACGTCCCAAAGAGAGGTTTGCAGAAGGACACAGATAAGAATATCACAGGATGAAGAGGCGGCATGGGTGGACATGGATGATTAACACTAAGGAAAGCATTAACATTCTGGACCTCCCAGACCACTGAAATACGTGCTTACCTATAGAGAAAAGCATACTGTTCCTTGTAGGCATTTCTTCCCAGCCGGTTGCTAATTACATAGTTGTAGCCTTTTGTGTCTCTTTGGGATTTCCTAGGAGACAGGAAGATTTTTCAGGAGCTTTGTAAGTCGGCGTTGTTCCACCATCTTGAATCCTTCATCTACTATCTGTCTCACCCTTCCCGACCACAGACCCACAATGTGTTTTTGTTCTCTCCTTAGCTTCTCATTTCTGAGTCTGACGACCTGGATCTTGACCCACAATCACAAGGGCAATACATACCGATAATGCTTTAAGGTTTGCAGGGGCTCAGGTTCAAATCCTGGGTCTAATATTTATTGCCTGTATAACCTATGGCTAAATCACTTAAATACTCTGGACCTCAGTTTCCTCATCTGTAAAACAAAGGACCTGGACTGGATGGTTTCTGAGATCTTTTTCAGTTAACAATCAATCAAAAGTCATTTATCAAGCGCCTATACGCCGAATGGGGCAGGTAGGTGGTCCAGTGGATAGAGTGCCAAGCTTGAAGTCAGGAAGACCTGAGTTCAAATCCTACCTCAGACACTTACTAGCTGTGTGACCCTGGACCGTGTTTGCCTCAGTTCTTTTTTGTCCCCCATTTTTAATTAATTTATTTTGATTTATCAACAATCACTTCCATATGCTTTTGAGTTTAAAATTTTTCTCCCTCTTCCTTCCCACCACCCTCCCCAAGATGGCACACAATCTGATATAGGCTGTACATATACATTCCTATTAATTGCCTCCGTTCTTTATCCATAAAATGAGCTGAAGAAGGAAATGGCAAATGGCTCCAGTATCTTTGCAGGAAAACCCCAAATGAGGTCACAAAGAATCAGACACGACTGAAAAACAACCAAACAACAATGTGTCAAGCACTCTGCTTGGTGCTCGAGAATGAAATATCCCTAAAAGATGCTTACATTATAATGGGGAGCATAACGAGTACACATAGAGGCTCACGTAGCAATAGAGCCATGATCCTTGAGTTAGATACCACAGGTGTTATTATTCCCATTGTACATTTACAGAAACTGAGGAGCAAGGTAGTTAAATCTTCTGATTACTAACAGAGGCAGAATTCAAACCCAGGTCTTCCTGATTCTAGGCCTGGTATTCTATCCACTCTTTGAAAGCAATAATACGATAACCTTTATTAAACGCTTACTAACTCAGGGAAGGGGGAGGGGAGAGCGAAAATTTGAAACTCAAAAATTTTTTTAAATGAATGTTAATAATTGTCTTTACATGTTAACTGGGGAAAAACAAAATTATTAAAAAAAGAAAGTAATATATGTGGAATTATGTCCAAAGAGTTATAAAGTTGTGTATGCCCTTTGACCCAGCAATACCACTATTAGGTCTGTTTCCCAAGGTGATCAGGGAAAAAGGAAAAGAACCTATATGTTCTAAAATATTTATAGCAGATTTCTTTAGGGTGGCAAGGACTGGAAATTATGGGAATGCCCATCAGTTGGGGAATGGCTGAAAAAAATGTGGCATCTGATTGTGATGGAATACTACTATGCTGTAAGAAATGAGGAGCAGGATGGTTTTAGAAAAACATGGAAAGAGTTTAATGAAATAATGAAAAGTGCAATGAGTAGAACCAATACAACATTGTATACAGTAACAGCAACATTGTTCAAAGAGTAACTGTGAAGGACTAAGCTATTCTGATTATTACAAATATTTGAATCAACTACAAAGGACCTATGAAGAAAGATTCTATCTACCTCCAGAGAAAGAACTGATATATAGAAGTATGCATAGTATATGTGCGTGTGTATGTATATATATATACATATATAGGTATAAATGTGTATGTATGTGTATACGTGTGTATTTATATCTATCTGTGTCAAATGGTAGCCTTCTCTAGTGCAGGGTGGGGAGGGAGGGAAGGAGATAGTTCAGAACTTGAAATGTAACAAAAAGAATTAAAATTTAAAAAAACAAAATAATCCACACAACAGAAACTGACATGTCTAGCAATTCAGTAATGCAACACTTTCCCCAAAAGATCCCAGACTGCCCTGGTCAGGCGTCATCTGGAGCATTGGGTTCAACCTTGGGTGTCACATTTAAGGAAGGATATCAATTGGCTGGAAGTGTCCAGGCAAGGCCAACCAATATGGTGGAAGGTCTTGTGAACATTCCACATGAGCATCGATGAAGGAACTGGAAACGTTTGGTGTCGGGGAGACTCCGTGAGGACGTGAAAGCTATCACTTATCTCGTTTATCCAATGGCGGGACTGGATGGGGTGTCCCCTGAGGCCCCTTCCAACCGCTAAGTCTACAATGCTATGAAGAGTTTGAGTCTCTGCCACATGGAAGAGAGACTTAAGCTTGACGTCAGGGAAAGCTCCCTCCCTGAACTACCCCCAAATGCTCTGGGTGACCTCTGAGGTGGCGGGTTCCTCTTCACTGGAAGTCTTTCAGCACAGATCGGATGATCAATTATCAGATACATTGTGAAGGAGATTCTTGTTATTATCCTCCATATTTAGAAAATAAGTGTAAAGAATTTTACAAGCCTTAATTGAGGTACTATAAAAATGTTAGCTATTCTGGGAGCTGCTGAGTGGCGCAGTGGATAGAGGACCTGAGCTCAAATCTGGCCTCAGACACATAACACTTACAAGCTGTGTGACCCTGGGCAAGTCACTTAACCCCAACTGCCTCACCAAAAAGCAAAAAAAAAAAAATTAGCTACTGTTGTTGTTGTTTGACCTTTCTGAGGTTCCTTCCAATTCTGGGATTCTGTAGTTCTGTGCGAATCCCTTAAAATAATTACCATTTTAGACTTTTTCAGTGGAAACTCGCCTTCTTTCTTCTGGGCTTCATCTGTCTTCTCTCCATCCCCTTAGCTACCTCTAACTATTATCCGGTGAAATTTTTGTTTTGTTCACATTTGCCAAATGCATGCTGGAAACTCCCCGAAGTTGTAGGAATCCAGGTTAAAATGACTATTTTCTACCCCCACCCTCAATCAAGAGCTCAAGAAATGAAAGATTCTGTCCTAGGAAGGCCACAGCAGGGTGCAGCTTCCCAGCTCAGCTGTCCCCCTCTCTGTGTGTGTAGAGCCTGGAGTTTTGGATAGCTTTGGAGTTCCATTTTGGGGAACTTTTGGGCCCTTTTGCAGTCTATGCAGAACCCAGAGTTTTGGGGTTTTTTTTTTTTTTGTTTTATTTTGTTTTTTAAAGCCAAATCCAGAACTTGGCTGGGTTAGGTCATAATAAATTGAACTCCAACTTCCTGTTTATGTAAGGCTAGGCTTGTTTTGAATAGCTAGGATAGCCCATCCCTATTTCTATGATTTACATGCAAATGACTCATTAATCCAATTTCTTTAAAAGGGATACTGTAATGTACTTGTGACAACATGTGTCCAGCATCTTTGGACCTCTATCAAGTCGAGAATGGGAAACATTTCCCAATTAGGAGATCTAGGGGAGAATGGAAGCCACAGGAGGCAGCTGTGATATAGTGGAGGACCTGACTTAAAAATCTCTGTCTAGCTACTCACTAACTGTGGGCAAATCATTCCACTTCTCAGTTTCCTTATCGGTAAAATAAAAGGGATGGGCTACTAGATCCCTAGGGTCCCTCTGTGCCTTTACATCTCTGATCCTGTCTGTGGAACCTTGGGTCCTTTCCATTCTCTGAGCCTCAGTTTCCTCATTTGTAAAATGGGGGAGGCATGTTAGACTAGACGTCTCAGCGCCCTTTGAGTTCGAAATGTCTGATGCCATGAGGCAGAACTGAGTCACCCAGCAGTGCACTGCCCCTCCCTTTTGCCCCTGAGGACTGATCTGTTGCACAGGAGGGAGGAAGCGGGTGAAAGCTGAGGATGCTGGCAGGTTCTCTGGAAGGTCCTTGACTTTGGGCCAAAAAGGCAAATTTACCATTCTCAGGCCTTCCTTCCTCCTCCTAAGAATCACAGAGTCATACTATGAATGTTATTGCTGAAGCCCATCTAGTCTCATTTTGCAAATGTGGAAACTGAGTCCTTGAGAAGCTAGGTGGCTTGCTCAAAGCCACACAACTAGTGAGCTGTCCAGTCAACAGGAGATTTCATCCAGTGGGCTTTTTATATCTTTCCTTCCTTTGTTTTTCTCTTTCCAGTCTCTTATCTGTTTCCTTGTTTTCAATTTTGTGATCATAACCTTTGCATATTCATCCTGCCCCAAAGGTCTTTCCTTGGGACATACTCGCCCTAGGGAATGTGAGCAGATGTGGCCAGATGTTTCAGCTGGGCAGGGTTTCTGTCCCTGCCCTCCTTTCCAGTTTCAGTTCTCTTTTGCCATTGTCTGTTTGCATGAAAGGGGGCCCCAAGGACTTGTTTTTCTTACCCATTCAGCCTTTTCATCAAGGTGGGACAAATGGTGTTGCGGGAGTCCTTGATTTCCATCAGGAGCACGATGTCACAGCGTTTGATGATCTGTGACAAAAGATAAACAGGCCATCAAAGGGAGCGCATTCAGCATTTCTTAGCGAGGTCATGGCAACAAGGGGAAATCGAGTCTGGAGAGCCGCTTATTCACCCCGGAGAGCCCAGCAAGTGACAGCGGATAAAGCGGTGGGCACAGCCATGTGAGAGCCCCTACCAAGTCTGAAGTACTGCGATTTTGTGAATAAGGCAGGGATAAGCTTCAAGACCTCCCTGGTGAGGTACGTGGGTACCTTCTCTGAAACGTCTAGTCTTAAAGATTTGATTACATGGCAGTCCAGCCCAAACCAGGTTCAAGTGTAATTGGGAAATATTTAACAAAATAAATAAAAATACAATAAAACAAAATAAGATTATATTTTAAAACTGAGTCAATGTTCATCCTCCTCCCTGGGGATCCTTGGGTACAGTTGAGTTTCTATTAGAATTTGATACCATCTGCTTAGATGACTGGGAGGTTAAGAAACAAGGATGTGTCAGAAGCTAGACTTGAACCCAGGCCCTTCTGACTGAGGTCAGCTCTCTATCTACTATGTCACATTGCCTTAAGGCAACGTGGAACCACTGAATGTTTCTGACCAAAGAAGTGACAAGTACTTGGCAACATTTTTGAAAAAGTTAATCTGGTGGCAATATGTAAAGACCTGAGTTCAAACTGATGCTCCTCTCTGCTTCTTAGCTGTCTGACCTTGGCTAAGCCTCTTCACTTATAAAGCGAGGGGATTGGACTCCATGGTTCTATGATCTGGTCCCGTCCTAAATCTATGACCCCACGTTGCTTCTCTGAATAAAAGGAGTGACATCAAAGACACAAAGCGCCCCCTTTTCCCTATAGCTGATGGCCACACTCTCTTTGGGTTTTCTCCAAAGCTCAGAAAATTGCACTCCAAACACATCTGTTGGTCACTTTTTTTTTGCCAATCACTTTTTTTTTGCAAGGCGATTGGGGTTCAGTGACTTGCCCCGAGTCACACAGCTGGTGAGTGTTATGTGTCTGAGGTCGGATTTGAACTCAGGTTCTGCTGACTCCAGGGCCGGTGCTCTATCCACTGCGCCACCTAGCTGCTCCTGCCCATCGCTTGGAATCATTGTTGCCTCGTCTTTCTGTGCCGTGGGCTGGGAGTTTTTAGACAGAAAGCTCCTCTATCCCGAAGAAATCCCAGGTCTGGAGGGCATGGCTACAGGTCATACATCTTTTAGGTGCCACGGATTTCTGTCCTTCAGACAGAATGACTAATTTCCCAATCAATTGGAGACAAATATCAATCGATGAGTGTGTTCAACCACACATTCCCTTTGTCGGTGTTTCAGGTCACCTGTTTCAGGTTTTCTGATAGTGATAATAATAATAGATGTTTACACGGTGGTTTAAAATTTGCAAAGCGCTTCAATACATGCATACACATGTGTAAACACACAATGTACTATATCTACATATATGTAAAGACACAAATGTATACATATTATATATACATATATTAATACATGCTTTATCCCAGAAGTGCATATATACATGTATGTATGTGTGTATACATGTATATATCACATGCACAATATCCTAAAAGTATTAGTGAAATTTTAAGTTTTAATAATTTAATAATTTTTTATGGGTGGCTAAGTGGCACAGCGAATAGAGTGTGGGGCCTAGAGTTCATCCTGAGTTCAAATCTGGCCTCAGACACTTACTAGCTGTGTGACCCTGGGCAAGTCACTTCACCCTGTTTGCCTCAGTTTCCTCATCTGTAAAATGAGCTGGAGATGGAAACGGCAAACCACTTCACTATCTTTGCCAAGAAAACTTCAAATGGGGTCACCAGGAGTTGGACACAATTGAGACTGAACAAGCTTTAAACTGTCCTAAGATGTTTCAGCCTTTCAACAACTTGAAGGGGAAAGGGAGGTGAGCACTAAAGTTTCACCTTCTCCCTTTTTTGAGATGAACAAGGTGGGACTCAGAGACATTAGTTTCCTTGTCCATGGTCCCACAGCTAGCAGTATGAGATGATGGATTCTGCCCCCAGGCTTCCAAACTCCAAATGCCATTGTACACGGATTATATCTTCACTGGGGCTGTCTCCTATTTGCCTCCGGAAAAGAGTCTCATTTTAAAACCAGCAACAGCAAAAATCTCACCCTCCCACAGATTTAAGTCGCTAAAGGCTCCAGTGAGCTGGGATGTGCTGTCTTTGACTCATGCTCTGGGTCTTATCCACTAGGGAACTGCCCGTGGTCCACATTCTTCCTGTGGATGCAACCCACGACCTTTACCTCATTTGCCCCAAGCGAAATTCACTCCTTGTGATGCTTCTCCCTTTTCCTGTTAGATCCTTAATCTCTTTCCTGACTTTGGAAGATGGGAGTAGGGCACTGACCACTGGGAGGAATTAGGAAAGCCTTCCTGTAGGAAGTGGCATGGGATCTGAGCCTTGAAGCTGACTTGGGGAATAGAGTATTGGGCTAGGACTCAGGGAGATCTTACTTCAAATATTGTTTTGGACACTTAAGTCACTTCGCCGCTGTCTGCCTCAGTTTCCTCATCTGTAAAATGGAGATAATAATATCACCCATGTCCCAGGGTTGTTGTGAAATGACATATGTAAAACACCCTGCAAATCTTAAAGTGCCATTCTTGTTATCCTCATCATGAATGATAGCTTCCAAGAGACAAAGGTGAGGAGAGCTATTTGGAAGATAATGGGAGATAGGATGGTCTGATTCAGCCCCATCCCTGGACCCTGGCTGCCTCCAGGATCAGAACCCCAGCAGGGAAGTTTGGGGACATATTTCTGTCCTAGTCAGGTTCTAATTATTCTAAGGAGCAGTTTCCTCATAGCCTGGTATTTCCAGGCAACTATGAAACCTTCCATGGCTCCCCATTGCCTATAGGCTAAAAGACAAACTCTACCCACTTTGCACCCTTCCCCAGGCATTAATGGTCCTCTATGGTCTGGCTCCCACTTCTACTTCATGCTACTCTCTTGGAAGAGCTTTACCTTTCAGCTAAACCAGACTGCTCACCATTCCCTCAACGTGACACACCACAAGTTGTGTGTGCCCCCTCCTATGCCATGAGTGGCCTCTTTCCCCCTCCCCACCCCCATTGTCTTCCTTCAAGGTTCAGCTCTAGGGGCCCATTCTGTCAGGAAGCCTTCTCTGATCTCCATCCTTAGCCTCCGATATAGGTGCTCTCCCCCCCCTCCATTTTCCTTGTACTCTACTCTTCTGTGTTCATGTTATGCTCCTCTCCTCCCTCAGCATCCCCAAGTAGAAAGCAAGCTCCTTGAGGCAGGGTCTATTTTATTCATATATCTCCTGCACCTAGTACAGTGCCTAGCACATAATAGCGCTTGTTGAAATTTTCTTGTGTAGAATAGGTAGTATGGTACAAGGTCATTAGACCCATGGTCTCAGAATTTAGGGGTTAATTTAAACCACAAAATGTCACTTGCCCAAGGCCACATAGGTTTGACCCCCCCACCCTGTGACCCCTACATCCTGTGGTCCTTCAGCCTTCCCAAAGTCACATAGATAATGGGCATCAGGAATAGGGTCAGCACTCAGGTCTCCAGACTCTCCATCTATCTCTCTTGCCATCATCCCATGCTCCTTCATTCATATCACACAAGCAAACTCGTTCAATCAATGGGCTTGGGTGGCAAAGACCATGAGTCATCAGTAAACACATTAGGTGTAGTTGGATTTCTAGCCAACTGGCAATGTGTGAATCACAGCTCTCAAAGGAGTTCTGTGTGACAGGTCTGCTTACTGAGCTGGGACATCCCAAGGCTCCTCCCTCCAGGGCAATCCTTGGGACACAAAAATGCTATTTCTTGAAAACAAAATCTACCTAATAACCACAACAATGTAAAGGGAAAGAACAACAAGGAAAAACCTGAACCTGAATGTTGTGTAATTTCATTGTCCTTAAAGAGTTGAGAAAATGCACCTCCCTCCCTTCTTTACAGAGGTGAGGGATTATGGGTATGAAATGTTGCATGCATGATCATTCTCATCTGACACATTGGTTAGTTTTGCTGAACATTTTGTCAAGTCAATTTTTTTCCTCTTTGTTACAAGGGATGACTTACTGAGTGGAGAGCGAGGGGAAATATGTTCAGAAATTAAGGTGATATTAAAAAGACATCAATAATGTTTTAAAAGTAAACAACAACAACAACAACAAAAACCCCAAACCCCGCCTGCAGCAACCTTATAGGGTGCTGAATAAGCAAGTGGGAGCAATGCTACTCATTACCTTGGGCAAGTTACTCAACAATTCTCGTTTCCTCTGAAATGAGGAGGTCGGACCTATGACGTCTAAGGTCCCTGCTGGCTATAAATCTTACTCCTATCCTACAATGCTCCCTTAACCATTACTGAATTCATCATCAGGGATTGCACATTTTGAAACAGGAAAATATTTTCCTTGTATAGGGTCCCTCCCTCTCTCCCCCTATTGTGATTGTGCCTCTCAGGCCATAACAAATATCAATTGGCTAAATAACCGGCCCAGACCCTGCCCTAAAACCCAAGATTAAATAGGTCCGAACTCTTGGAGAAGACGATCTTAGTTACAGTTAGTGCTTAGCCAAATTTGCTGGCTCATTTAAAGAAAAAAAAAGCAGAATTTGAAGAAAAGCATATGAGCTAATTATATCCAAACAAGAGGAAAAGTAACTAGGAAAGGCGGGGCCAGCAAAGAATCTTCATGGGAACTGGAGGAACAGCCTGGAAAATGGTTAGGAGCCGCTATGAATTGGATGGAACTAATTTAAAGGTGAATATTTACTAATCAGTTCAATTGACTTGTGTGGGTGTTTGGGATTGAACTTTTAATCACAGAATCTCAGATTTAGAAGGGTCATCATTAGTCCTCTAGTCCAACCTATAAAAGCTCCAATGGACCCTCTAGCCTTTGCCTGAAGATGTCCAGTGCAGGGGAACCCACTGCTCCTAAGGCAACCCACCCCATGTTGGGGCAGCCAGTGCGGTGGAAGTTTTCACTGATAGCAAGTCTGAATATACATTTCTACCCGTCTTTGCTTCTTTTTCTATTCTGCCCTTTGGGGCCAAAGAGAACAAGATATCCTTCTTTCAATGATGAGTCAATCTACAATTTCCTTAGTATGGGGAATTCTTAATGAAAGTGCTTTTTGTACCAATGCAGGTTGACAGCTTCATGCAGAGAGGCTAATTGACCTAGGTTCACACAGTCAGTATGGGTCAGGGGCAGAACTGAACCCAAGTCATCCATGCTCTGAGGCCAGCTCTCTCTGAGGCTGTCCCTCTAAGTATTTAAGTCCATTTTTCAGATGAGGAAACTGAGGCTCTGAGATGTTAATCAGTTTGCCCAAGGTGACCAAATGTCAGAAGTACGATCAGAACCCAAGGTCATAGGATCATTGCTGTGGAGTTGGAAGCAACTTTAAGAGGTCAACTACTCCAACCCTTCATTTTGCAACTAAGGAAACAGGTTCGGAATAGTTGGACAATTTGCCCGGGGTCACCCAGGAGCAAGATTCAAACTCCAGGCAGCTCCTATCTTCAGTTCCAGCATGCTTCTCACTACGCAACACTGCCCCTCCTGGAGCTAGCTTCATGAACAGAAGGCTTGGTTGGGGCAGTTATACTGGAAACTCTGCTCTCTAATATTCCTTAGCACAGAGCTTGGCTCTTGGGGCAGAGAGCTTCCCTGGAGTGCCGCCAGGCTATTCTTCAAGTCAGAGGTGTCAGGCTCCTTACCTTTACTATAACATCCATAGCTTTGGAGTTCTCCCTCTTCGCCTCCCCAAAGGACCTCACATTGAAGGAGCAGATTCTCATGGTCTGGATGCCATCCAGGGAGATCAGCAGCAGGGTGAGGGCCAGCATCCTTGCCATCGCAGGGGCCTTCTGCTAAGAGCAGGGTGCAGCTGGGTAAGTCAGTGGTGCTCTGAGGAGTGCCAAGTTCTGGTGCAGCCTGCTGGCTTTTATGGGGTGCAGATAGCAGGAATGACTGGCTTCCTTCCTTCTGCAAACTTTCACTTCTCTAAGGAATTGAAGGTCACAGGCTTCTTGCCCAGAGGGAATCTTCTGCCTTTTAAACAAGACTAATTGCAGTGTAAGCATGTCATGGGCATTATTTGCTTTTCACATTAGGAAATCAGTTTAGTATTACTTCCCAACCTTCCCATCCTGCGGGAAGAGATGACAAATTGTTAGTGTGAGTACCAGAGGTCCACAGCTGGCCTTAATCTTCCGTGCTACTAGCCACAGCTCCATCTCAGAGCTCCAAATGTCACTGTTGCCCTCCTTTTACAGATTCTTATGTTCCTAAGATCATCAGAAAGTTTTTTTTGGGGGGGGGGGTGTCACCTGGAACCCTCCGCTAGAGAAGCACATAGCATCATAACACCAACATCAAAGGGTTATTGTGGAAAAGCCTAGTGACTGGGGATAGCATACCAGTCAAAGGGTAAGCTTTTATTAAGCACCTACTATGTGCCAGGCTAGGTGGTAAAGTGATAGAGCGCTGGACCTGGAGTCAGGAAGGCTCATTTTCCTGAGTTCAAATCCTGCCTCAGACACTTACTAGGGGTGTGACCAAGTCACTTAACTCTGTCTCATTCTCTTATCTTTGAAATGATCTGGAGAAGGCAATGGCAAATCACTCCAGCATCGCTGCCAAGAAAACCCCAAATGGGATCACAAAGAGATGGATATGACTGAAAAATTACTGAAAAGAAATGTGCCAAGCATTATGCTAAACAGTTATTGTTATTTGTCCTTATTTCTCAGAAAGGACCAATGTCATGGCGGGGGGGGGGGGGACATGGGCTGGTTTTCTAATATCCTTAGTTATTTCTTTTACCACTTCTCCATTATCATCAATCCTTATGCAACAGTTTGACAGGTTCAGTTTGCCACACACTCCTCCTTCTTCTGCCACAAATAGTCTAACACTAACAGGTGCTGAATGACTACTGCTCTTGTCTGAGTGGCCTGATCAGCTAACAAGTCTAAATGTCTTGACTCGTCAGTGAATTGGGCTGAAGCGAGCTATGTAAAACCATCAGCCCCACTCTTTCCTCCTGGGGATAAAAAGACAGGCCAAAGACAGTTTCCTCTTAAGAACTTCACAGTATAAAGGGGAGATAACATGTACAAACAAGTTGTAGATGAGATAAATTGGAGATAACCAAGGGAAGGTATTAGCATGAAGGGGAATTAGAAAAGGCTTCCTGTAGAAGGTGGAATTTTAGCTGGGACTTGAAGGAAGCCAGAGAAGGCAAGAGGCAGAGTGAGGAAGGAGAGAATTCAGGCATGGGGACCAACCAATGAAAATGTATAAAGTCAAGAGGAAGGTCTAGTGTGAGGAACAGTCAGAAATCTGATGTCACTGGATCACAGAGTACATGGGGGGACTAAGGTATAAGAAAACTGGAAACATAGTGGGTGGCTAGATTGTGAAGGGTTTTGAATGCCAAGTAGAGCATTTTATATTTGATATTGGGGGTGAGAGGAAACCACTGAAGTTTATTGATTTGGCAGTGGGATGATGTTATAAAGACCCCAGACTCAATTCAGAGTTCAGCCAGAGACTGGGCTTGCTGAATTCCTCAAACAAGAGTTAGCTGGGTGGGGCAGCTAGATGGTGCAGTGGATAGAGAACCAGCCCTGGAGTCAGGAGGACTGAGTCCAAATCCCATCTCAGACACTTGACACTTACTAGCTGTGTGACCCTGGGCAAGTCACTCAACCCCATTGCCTAGTCCCCCCCCCCCAAAAAAAAGAGTTAGCTGGGTAATAACGAAATCACACTTTGTGGAGTGAAAGAAGAGATACCTTTTTGTCGATCATCACGAGAAGTGGGTATGTATGTTCCCTCACAGGACCCCCACACACACCAACACAGAAGCAGAACAAGCAGTTATACAGGATTATTTGACTTTAACCCCCAACGTTATCCCACTCCTCCTTTTATCCTATTTTGCACATTCCTGCATGTCCTATGCTCCTATAAAATCTCTGTAAACCAATAAACCAATCTCCCCCCATCCTGTTTGCACATTTTTACACGTCCTGTGTTCCTATAGAGTCTGTGGGAACCAAACTGTTAGCATTTCTCGCAATTCCCCCATTTTCTTTCAATAAGGATTTGGATTCCCCACCCCTTCAGCTGTCCCTCACTCAAGCCGCCAACCGCGTCAACATCAATTCACATTCCTCATCACTAGGAGAATCGTTAGTCTTCTCTATTAAAATCTTCACCCCTCCATTGTTGGATACAAGTATCTGCCCTATCTTGTTGATGGGTTCCTGCACTATTCGAGTTATTAACTGAATAATACAAGGGAGACACATAGGTAGCAGGATTACTCCACTCAAGGCTAGCAACATAACTCCCAACAATTGTTTCCACCAAGATCCAGTGAGCCAACCCATCCAGGATGTGCCAAAGGGACTTGTCCAGGTTTGAACAGGGACATGGGCTGGTTTTCTAATATCCTTAGTTATTTCTTTTACCACTTCTCCATTATCATCAATCCTTATGCCACAGTTTGACAGGTTCAGTTTGCCACACACTCCTCCTTCTTCTGCCACAAATAGTCTAACACTAACAGGTGCTGAATGACTGCTTCTCTTGTTTGAGTGGCCTGATCAGCTAACAGGTCTAAAGCTTTGGTGGTTTGGTTGGTAATGATCTCTACTACTACCTGAAGTCTTATGAACCTGTTCAGTATGTAAATTGGAGTCCTGTAACCCCAACTCCCATCTTGTGCCCAGGTGGCTGGCCCATAAGTCTGAACTATTCTCTCTGGGGGCCAAGTATCTCCCCAAGCATTAGCATCACCAGTACTAGTTAATGGAGTATCAATGTTCCTTTTATCTTGGTTCAGATCATCATATAATCATATTCCCAGATGACTGCCTCCCAGTCCAGGGAGGAAGTATGTAGGTCTGACTGGTCCAGTATAACAGTTCCCTGACCAGTCTTTGGGTAAGTGGGTATATGCTGTTAATCCACATATCCAGTAATGTCCCTTCAGGGCTGATCGTTCTTTTAAAAATATAGTGTCTCTATTTCCAGTAAATGGATAATACTGCTCATCTTTGTCTCCAAGGGGTCCTCCCTTGTAAGCCATAGTTTTGTTACTATAGTAAGTGCATTTCCAGAGTTGTTGCTTTTCTTTCCACTGACAAGAATCTATGGATGGCTCATTAGAGCTTACTCCAGAATTGGTCAAAATAGATTCCAGAAGTTGTTCCATTAGACCACCCCTAGCTATAGAAGAAACGATTAGTGAAATTCTTTTGGTTATACTTTTTGCAAGTAGCTATTGCAACATCTCCCTTGTAAGTCTGTGTTTTATCCATCCAACCCAACATCAGCTCATAATCACAATTACCCTTTTGAAGTCTCTCAATTTGTGAATCCTGACATGGAATCCAGGTACCATCACTACACTGTGGATGTGTCTTATTCCATTTTTCTCCATAGATTGTACAATCTTGAGTACGTAGGCCCTGCTTCCTTGTGTAAGTCCACTCACATTCACTCTCTCCTAAATAATTTCCTTGCCCTGTCTGGTTCAAGCAATACTTGCCCTGAACTAACTCTGTCAAATGCCACTGGTGTCTTTCCTAGTTGGACCAAAACCCCGTGCCATTGTGTACCTCTGATTGGTTACTGAGAGTCCAGGCCTGACTCAGAGGCACTGGTACCTAGGACCATTTCTCAAGCTGTTGTGGACCACCATAAATCCAGCAATTGGTCACACTACTTATTCTCCTCTCCCCATGGAGCGGGTATTGAGGCTGCATATCCAAGTACTACCAGACTGGCTAGGAGAATTGTAGAAGAGGCATGCATTATTCCTGCAAATCTTTCCCACACTTGTAAATGTGTTCACACAGTAAGACTATTCCCCCAATAACAAAAGGTAAACAGAGACAAATTCCCATCACCCACTGCTGACAGTCTTCGGGAGTCATCTGTCATCAAGTCCCTTTCCAAAGAGTAACCTTTCGGGCTGACGGATTAGCTGATGCAACTCTCCATACTCGAGGTTCCTCCACTGGTCCTTTCACCTTGGTATAATGAGTCCAGCCTCTGTCAGTGGTTCTCACAGCAGTCTCTGTGGTTAGCTGTATCTGATAGGGTCTATCCCAGTTAGGGCGTAATTTCTTCTTTCTCTAAGTCTTTATGAGTACCCGGTCACCAGATTTGAAGGGATGAACAACAAACTCGAGCTGTGGGGTTTATGCCAGCAGACCTTTGTGGCGGAGTCCTGAAAGGAAGGATGACACTGCCGGAGTATAATCCCGTAAGAACCTGTCTTTCAAAAGTGGGGAGTTCACCCCCTCTATGCAAACATGGCATTCCATATAACATTTCATAAGGAGACACTCCTATATCCTTCCTAGGGGTGGTCCTTATTCTCAACAGAGCTATAGGTAAACATTTAGTCCAAGGCAGTCTGGTTTCTATACCCAATTTCGATTGTGGTTTTTTTAGGGTCTGATTCATTCTCTCTACCTTTCCCAAGGAGGGAGGGTGCCAAGGAGTATGGAATTCCCAACGTATATCTTAGGCTAGACATAATATTTTGTAGAACCCGTAATGTGAAGTGGGTCCTATAATCTGAATCTATTCTTTCTACTAATCTAAACCTAGGAATCACTTGTTCCAAAATTACTTTGCTCTTCCCTGAAGTCGTGGTGCATTTCAAAGGGTAAGCTTCATCCCACTCGGTGAGATGATCTACTGTAACCAGCAAGTACTTCAGTCTCCCTCCTGGAGGCATCTCTGTATAATGCACTTGAATGCTGTGGAATGGTTTTAGGCTTAATTCTCTTCCCCCAGGTATAGACTTTCTCATCACCTTTCTATTGACCTTTTGACATATCACACATCTTTCAGTGATTTGTTTGGCCACTGTATACAACCCTATACACCTGAAGGTTTTTAGAA